TGCGCGGGGGCGAGGGGGGGCAAAGTATCATCGGAACTCGGGGAGCTCTCGCGTGTAAAAGCAACTCGCGATGTCCGCGCCCTCCCGCCGGATTGGCGCTCTGGCGCCCGCCTCGAGCAGTCTGAGGCATCGCTCAGCGGCCAACGTCGCTCTGGCGGGTCGGCGAAGGGGGCGTTGGCCCACCTGGCATCGGTGGCCATCCTCCACTGGTCGCCCATCCGTCGACAGCGGGCGCGCCCGCGCCCTCCATGCGACGCTTCCTGAACTGGGCCCGCGCGCCTCGAGCCGCCGGGTCAGGCCGACGCGTTGGCGGCGCTTGCGCAGACTAGCGCCCGAGAAAAACTAAAACCCCCCATCGCCCCCGAGTCCTCCCCGCGCTGCTCCGCCGCATCTCTCGGCTGAGCTTCTCCGGGCGAGCCCCCGCGAATCCCGCGCCGGCTGGCCCGCCCAACTCGCCAGAATGGATCGGCGCGACGCCCGCGGTCAGGGAAGGCCAACTGGTCGACCTCGTGGTTGGCCCGGGTCGCGGGCTCGCCGCGGAGGCCCGGTGGGCCGGGAGCTCCCGCGGGGCTTCCTGGCCGGTCGGCCCAGGGGGGAGGGCGACCTGCCTCCCGAGCACAGGACAGACGACGGCCAAGCACAAGGTCAGGGCGCTGACCTTCGGGCGCCAGCCCTCCCCGTTCGCTGCCGCCGAGCGGCCCTGCGCCCGTCTCGTTGAGCGAGCGCGCCGCGTCGCTCGCCCGTTCGACCTCATGCCGACGAGCATTGAGACGTCGGCGCGACCCCCTAGGCAGCGCCGCGGGGCGCCCGACGGAAAACTGGCTGGCCCCCGAGAGACCACAGAAATCATGATAATATCGCGCTACCTTCCGTCGCCAAGAGCTGGGCCAGAACTGCGGAGCGCCCTCGAGCCGCAGGGCCCGTGGCCGTCCTCGCAAGCGGGAGAGGCGCCCAGGCTCTCCTGCGGGCGCGCGACCAAGCTGCGTGCCTGGTCGAGCAGGCCGCGGCCCGCTGCTCGCAGGCCTCGCGGGCCTGCTCGAGCACGCTCGCGTCGCGCTCCACCTCCTTCGACACATAGTCCAGATTGCCGGGGAGCACCACGATGTCGCCGAGCTCCTTGTGGCCCCCCACGAAGATGTGAGCCTCGTCGCACAGGCCGACGCGCAGGCCTTTTCGGCCCTTGCCCTCGTGATCCTTTTGCCCTCATCGTGATTGCCGCCTTCAGAGCCGCCGCGATCGCCGCCGCCCATTTCCGAGTAGCCACGCTGGAAGAGTTGGGCCTTCCTCGTCATCAGCTCGAAGGTCCCGAAGTTCACGCTTTCCAGCCCGTCGCACGTCAAGGCCAGGCCCACCGCCTGCATGATCGATCATGTGATGATCGGCGACGTCGCAGAACTCCATCTGGAGGCTCTGCGTGTGCACCCAGAAGCGGCGGTGGCCGATGGCCCTTCCATGTCGGCGGCTGCTGAACTGCAAGCACCATGGCGCAGTGCGGGAGCCACGCGAGAAGTGGTCCGCGAAAGTGACCCGCTCGACGGTCTCCACAGCAGTCCGGAAGAAGGCCTTGACCCGCTAGCCCCACGCGCTCGTGATGCCCATCAGCATGGCATCCCCCGCAGCCTCGCCCCCGCGAACTCGATCTTTCTGACTGTCGGCACGATGGCGAAGAAAACCCGCTCCGAGGTCACGCCGTGGGGCTGCATCGCGCGGCAATCCTGCACCACGTCCTGGCCGGAGAGCACGCCCGCGCCCCCTCACCTCAGCCCACCGCGCGTTTCGACCGCGAACCACGTGCCAGCGGCTGCTGCCGGCGCGCCGGCGGCGCCTGGTGCCGCAGCCGCGGCCGCGGGGCCCCCGCCGACGGCAACGGGGGCTGGGCCCTCACGATCGGCGGCGTGGCGGCGCCGTCGACGGCTCTCCTCTGCCGCCGCGCGGCACTTCCGAACGAAGCAGGTCCCCGCCATCGCAGGGGCCCCCGACGGCGGTGGGGCCTCGGACGCGCCTTCGTTGGCCGCCACCCTGAGGCGCGCCACGGCATCCTCCAGCATGGCCCGTTCAATGCAGCCATGAAACGCCCACAACCGTTTCTGCACTGGCCCTCAGCCACTGCCTGCCCCGCGAACTCTTTCAACGGCCGCCGTGCCTCCTCTGCGCTGAACACCGCGGCTGCCGAAACCTGCACGAACGTTCCCTCGAACTCGATCCCGTCCGCCTGCAGCGCCAGGCGCGGGCCGAGGATATCGCACTCATAAAGCCCCCTTGCTGACTGCTGACCCGCCGCGGCGCGGCGTCGAGGGCGCACGGCCCGAGGGCCAGCATCTGCGCCCAACCGTTGTTCAAAGTCGGCCGAGCGCGTGAACCCAAATGACCACAGGCATCTGGCAAAGTGAGAGGATATACAATCGTGCTGGCATACAGAAGCCTCGTTTTTTTGCCGTCCTGGGGCGTCTCAAGCTAACCTCAGAAGACTTGGTGGTCTATGGTTGGCCTCTTGAACCATCCTGGAAACCTCTTGAACACACAATTGACAATTGACCCCAAACGCCCCCGAAACGGGTCCCGACACCCTGCTGCCAAAGTGGTTTGCTTGCCTGGCGTTGCGCAAATGCGTCTAGCGCGGCTCCCTTCCACGAGCGCGCTCTCGATACGACATTCCAGTTGCGTGCCGACCTGAGAAATCGAGCTTCGTTAGGACACCACCGTTCTGACCAGCTACCAGCACCACGGTGCTTCGACGCCGAGGAGAACACCCGACCTGCCCAGGTATCTTATGCCCCAGGCTCCCCATTTGTAAATGCTCATGAGGCTGGCAATGCTGCTGTGATCATGCCTGCGACTACAAACGTACCCGTTAAACAACACATACCACATATACATGTGTATATGTATATGCATCAGCACAACGACGGCCACGCCTGCATCCGACGAAACCTATGGCGGTCAATTCTTGAACCCGCTGGGCTAAATTGCCGCAGAACAACGGCGAACTTGGCACATGAAAGTGTTGCCGACTGTCTGGTTGTCGTCATGTATTTCCTTTGGGGTGAACTCCTTCTGCTTATGTATCCATGACACGGCTCGCCCCTTTTTTAGCATCCCCGACGCCCCAAGCTTGTCAGAACCATTGCGCTGCGTCCAGGACGGCCTCAAGAGCCCTTGGGCCCCCTCAGGGAGCCTCAAAGAGGTAGGCGCCAAGTAAGCCCGCAATGTGTTCCTACGAAGGCCTCCCCCCAAAGGGTGACTCGACACCACGGTCGAGCTAATTCGCCCCAGTCAGCTTCAACGCGTCCTTGAGCCATGTGGTCTACCCACGAAAACATGGCTATGCCGAGCCTCTTCCCTAAAGCAAAGGACCATCCCGTGCCGATGCTGCGCTGGCAAGGTGTTGCGGTTTGCCGCAGGCAGCCGGATTTCCTTCAGTGAACGTGCATTCCATCGGTCTTTCTGGGTGGCAGTCCTTGCAATGCGACGCCGCACACCAGCGAACTTTCTGTCCAAGCTCTGTGGCCCGTTGACATATGCCGTCCACAAACGCAAGTTCTTTCGCGTACGTGGTGACCCTGTCGCACGCGAGTCCACTAAGCTGCAATGTCCAGAGGCAAGGGAATAGTTGCTCTGCGTTCTTAAAATTCTGTGACTGGTTTGTCAAGTCGGGGTCGACTTGGAGAAGATCGTTGGTTATCCTCGTGTTCGCCAAAGCGCTTGCACCAGTTGGTGCGTGCTTGGCCCTAGTTGTTCGTTCCTGTCGCTGTTTGCGAAATCACAATTCGCCCTTCCCTGGCGCATCAAACCCAACATGCGTTCATCCTGTTGACTAGGTCCTTTCATGCTTTACCTTGTCGATGAAAACAGTCCCACAGTCATAATGAACGGTGGGGCGTTCCATGGAACCTACTCGTCCCTGGGCCTGGTCACTGCACCCGAAAGCCAAAGATGGCCAAGCCACCTTTCCTCGTGCTCTCTTCCGCAACGCCAGGGGTCTCTCGCACGTTCTGGCACGAGCCTCGAGGATCATCCAGCCGTGGCGACAAGGAGCCTCCCGCGGACCCAACCACTGCGCAGACCACCTCACGATCCGGATCCTGGATCCCGAGAGCCACGATCCAAGATCAGAGAGGGGCAGGAGAGCCCAGAATCGAAGCGATACATCGAATCGGCGATCGAAGTGAATCGGATCGGCGGAAGTCGGCAGCCGATTTGGGAAAAGTCGAATCGGCAGAAATCGGCAGGCTGGTATACCTCCAATGAGAAATCGGAGCCCAAATCGGAATCCCAAGTCGAATCGAATCGGAATCGGAAGCCATCGAAGTCGAATCGAATCGAATTGAATAAATCGAAACGAGCCCTGGAGGAGGGTCTGGGCCCCTCGGCCTCTGCGGAAGCGCCGGAGATCAGCAACGCGCCAAGAGTGACCCGTGGTGCCCGGCTTGCCGATCGCTGCATGCGATTCGGCAGCACCGGCCTGCGCGCTTGGGCCCGGCCCATCCCCCACGCCCCGCGCGAAGCCGCGCACCAAATGTTGGAAGCCTGGAAATTGGTACCAACACCAACACAGGGGGTTGCCTCCACAGGGGGAAGATGATCCTAGATTTCGGTGTTGGTGGTAATATTTCGGCCACCTTGGAAGCCGAAATATTACCACCATCATCGAGACTGGAATCCTCATCCCTCGGTGGAGGCACGCCGCCGATGTTGATGTTGGTGTCAATCTCGAGGCCTGCGAAAATGCCACCTCGGCAAAGGGTGGCCTTTCGCTTTCCGCGACTGGCAAGCCCGCGGTGCCCACACGGACCGTCACGCGAGAATCGCGAGGCCCCCCCTCAGCCCCAACAGCGCCCGGGCGCACGAGGAGCGCCGGAGGAACGAGTATGGAACGGCCCGAGGACCAGCGAGCTGCTTCCAAACACGAGCCTCGAGCCACATAGCTTCTCGCACCGCGAGGGGGGGGGGGGGGCTGGCGAGCGGAAGCTCGGCGCGGCGGCAAACGCGCTATCGCGGGCCTTCTTCTCGGCGGCCTGCCTCGCGCGGAACTCCTGCGGCCGCGCCCGCGGTCGCTTCCGCGGGGGGGGCGGCGGTCGCGGGCGAGCCGAAGCGGAGGTCCCAGCGCCACGCGGGCTGGACCTCTGAAGATCCAGACTTTTGGACGTGCCTCGCCCCCTGTGGGCCGCCGAGGAGCACCTCGTCGCCACGGCCGGGGTGCCCTCGAGACGCAACAAGTCAGAGCCCACGTCCGGAGAGATTCGGGGGCCGATGGGTTGTGTACGCCCTGGCACAGACACCTTTGCCTGATGGACGAGGCCAAGACAAACAGATTCCGGCCTTTTCAATTTCCGGGGGCCTTTTGAGCAGGCCTTGGGACCGACCGAACAGAAGGCTCCGGACCTTCTGGAACTCACGTGTTGACCAAGTCCCGACGCTGAGGGCTTGAGGCCCGAGGAGAATGCCAAGGTCGGTATCGACGTCAAACTCTCTCAAAGCCAGGGTTTCCGCCAGAATCGAACGTGGCTCCGGCTTCTTCGAATTCCGCTCGAGAGCTGCTCGTCCAGTATCGCTCAAAATTTGCGTGTACGTTCCGAACCGTTAGTAATGGCAGATTGAAGCCTGACGTAACGCATATCAGACAATGCCATTCCCCGAACAATACGTACTTGCACTTAGGAAATGAGGGGCAACGATATATAGGGGGGACTGGCACATGGGGGGGGGGGACATCCACCTGGAATCGGCGATACATCGCCAGTAGATTGGCGATAGGCCCCCGATAGCAAATCCCCAAGTTCGTGGACGTGGTGGGGCTATCAGACCCCTATGGGCGATCAATGAACGATTGGGGGTCGATACATGACCCGACCCCCTGAGCCTATCCCACACCATCGTTGCCTCTGAGGAGACCTCGATTGCGCTGTCAGGATCTGGTCCCGTCTCCCGGGTTCGGCCGTCGGTGTCTTGCCTCCACTGGCTTCGTTACTCACGCAAGCCGCGAAATGTTCCTCTTGGGCCCTGATGCCGATGCCCTGAAAATATGTATCCTTATGTTTTCCCTCCTCCACCTCTTCCTCCCCCGCCTCCTCCTCCTGCTGCTCCTCCTCCTCCTCCTCCTCCTCCTCCTCCTCCCCCTCCGCGTGTTCTTCTGCATCCCCCACCCCTTCTCGAGGGATATGTTGTTGGGTAACTGGAACCCTTTTGTCCCCGTATGACCATAGCATTGGTTTGCAGATCCACGGCTCTGTGGACACCATCTCCAGTGAGTCCACAACACGTGTGTAACAACATGATGGATTCACTCCAAGGACGAATGGGGCCTACGACGATTTAGCACCAAATTATTGTCCCTCGCGAGCATCCACATGACTCGGCGTTTGCCCTGAAGCTCCTGCGCGTGCCGTTCGCGTCGCGAGCCAAGTGCAGACAAAGTGCGGAACACACACACACACACACACGCACGCACGCACGCACGCACGCACGCACACACACACACACATCCACACCCACACCCACACCCACACCACACACCACACACCACACACCACACACCACACACCACACACCACACACCACGCACCACACACCACACACCACACACCACACACCACACACCACCACACACCACACACCACACACCACACACCACACACCACACACCACACACCACACACACACACCACACACACACACACACACACACCACACACCACACCACACACACACACACCACACCACACACACCACACACCACACACCACACACCACACACCACACACCACACACACACACCACACACCACACCACACACCACACACACACCACACACCACACACCACACACCACACACCACACACCACACACCACGCACCACACACCACACACCACACACCACACACCACACACCACACACCACACACCACACCAACCACACACCACACACCACACACCACACACAACACACAACACACAACACACAACACACAACACACAACACACAACACACAACACACAACACACAACACACAACACACATCACACAACACACAACACACAACACATTTATCGATGCCGAATGCAGATGGATTCAAACGCTGTGCGTGCATCCCTTTATGATCAGACCGATCACTCGTGCAACCTGGCAGCGCACAACAACAATCAGGGTGCCGCAGCACAGGGCAATTCGTGGGACCATACCCCGAGTTCCTAGAGCGCCGCAGGAGAGAAATCGGCTGAGGAGAATGGTGGTGGTGATGATGATGACGATGACGCGCCAATGAAGACGGGTTCACGAGATCCACGCGACGCAGAAGCGCCACCGCCAGCCGTCACATCGACAGTAGATGGGGAAGAAATGAAAGAAGCGAGAGGGGAGAGCAGGAGAGAGGAAAGAAGGAAGCAAATCTAATAAACCATATTGGTAAGCTGAACCTAGTTTGTGACTAGCCCCCCAGGCGGTGTTCACTTTCGAACCTTCAAAGCACCCAAGTAGAATGCGAGTAATGCAATCACATTGGGATGAGACGACAAACCATCGAGCGACAAGGGAGATCCCGTGATCAGGAGCGAACCCACGCGGATTTAGGAAAGAAGAATGTGGAGAATACAGCACTGTGAACCCGAGTGAGCGCGCGAAAATATAATGAACACCAACTTGCCCCAGAAGTCAGCATCGCGTGCAAACCCAAGATTTATAACGTTTTGTGTTGGGCAGGATCTAGCGATAGATAAAAGGAAAGCCTTCTTTAGTCGTGCACCGATGGAGCAGCCCTCCACTTCCAGCACTCGGCAACGCCGTCGTCAGTCCAATCGAGACTGTCCAGGTACCAGATCATCACGTTCTGGGCCCAGCGTGTTCCCACACCTTTGTCTAGGACTCGTCGCGCTCACTGTAGTGCCACCGGCCCCCCGATCCATTGTGCCACTTCGTCCTCGAGTTAGCGACGAGAGAGACAGGGGTAGCTTTGCGCTTCCCCATGCTGCAAGCGCAGGTTGAGAGCGCCCAAAGTGATGGCGGGCCGCAAAGGGGGGCGCGGTGCCAACTCTGCTTGAGGCTGAAATGGCGATTGAGTGGACACAAGGCAGCGTGCACTGTCAGAAGCGCCTCGCGGATAAAGGAACTCCCAGGCGCTGCGAGGACGAAGACTAGCGATCGAACAGACGAAACTTCTCCACCTGGCTCCATTCCACCCTGGTGTCGAGAGGACCAATCCGTGACCCGGAAGTCATATGCGACCGAGGCCCAAAGCGCATCCGCCTATCAACATCAAACCATTGGACAGAGTACGAAGATACAAAACACCACGAACACGACGACAATCCCAAACCTGAAACTTCACTGGAAGGGAGTACACACGATTGCGCCACAGCGGAAAGGTTTGCAGCAGGGAGGTCAAGTCGTCAGTCGCCGGAAAGTGTTTTGGCTCAAATGCCCAGGACCAACGCCACGTCTGATGACGACGAGATCATTAGGCAGGGAACAGAGGGTCGAAACAGGAGGCATAAACAGACTAAGCGCACAGGATATGCAAAGGTACATGTGCAAACTTCGAGCATCGAGCGGCTGCGAGGCAACACCCCGGCAGTTGCCCATCCTATAGCCCACGCGACGCAGGGTGCCCAGGATGCCCGCAGCAACGAACTCGAGATAAGAAACCCACCCTGAGAGGCCGAGCCAGTCGGACGACAGTGAAGGGAACAAGCTGAAGAGAAACTCCATATCCCACAAAGAGGAGAAAACCCAGAGAGGCAGGCGAGAGGTGGGATTCTTTTTAAAAGGCGCAGCCTCGGCCAAGCCGTCTAGACAGTCCACTTGCCTGTCAGGAGGGCGACGCTGGAAGGCGCGTCAACCCAAAGACATGAAGACCTCAAACGAGGCGTGCAATGTGAACTGAGAGGAAGCCAATAATATGACAGAGAGTAAGAGATCACGAAGGACGCAGGAACCAACCATGAAAAACCCAATTCAAAATGCGGACTTTGGCTTGCGTAGAAGATGGCACCTCGCCGGTGCGTCCTGCGAGCCGCGGTAGACTGAAATCATATCGCTCGCATCTTCCACCCCTCCCATTTTGAGCAGTGCGACCAGGACCTCACCGCCCGTAATATTCTTGGAGCTGCTCACTGATTTGGCATAGGGAAGGATATGTGGGCCAACCTCTTTGGCTTCGTCGCGCGTCTCAAAGAAGCAGCCGCGCAACTTCATCTGCGACCGATCCGCGAAGGCAAACCCACAGTGAGGAAGAATGTCGAGGACGTCGCTGGCCCTCAGGAAACCCTTTTCTTGAAGGGCAGGAACTCCCAGGTTGCTGAGAAGAGGGAACTGGTTGTCGACAGCAACAGGCGTAAGTTCCTGCACCGTGTAAATAAAGCCTAATTCAGTATCGCGCGTGCGGAAAACGTCATAAGCGGTAGCTTGAGGACAAAATACTATAATCCACTTCTACCTGTCCGCTCTATCGGGATCCAACCCATCTGAAGGAGGGAAATATCGGACAACCATCTTTATCCTTCTGGATCTGGGACTTGAGAATGGGCGGGCCAATCGGACTGATCCAAGGCATACCGGCGTGCTCCCACGGTCTGGCTGGAAGAGTTCGAGGCCTGGGAATCGCTCCAGGACCCGTGGACTCTTCGCTGGAATCGGTAGAGCTGGACCCACTGGCTTCCCCAGGAGTTCCCACCCTTGGAGATGTCTTGCTGGGCGTCTGCATGGCCAGCTGACTCGTGGTCCTGTGTAGCGGGCGTGCTCTTACCCCCAGGGGAACCGCCTCCTGCTGGGTCATCGCCACCTGGTGCCACTTTGCGCCTTGCAATCGGCGACCTGCTTCGGCTCCCGCTGGCGGACCCCTTCGGAGCCGCCTCAGTAGCAACAGGTGCAGTCGGGGGAGGTGAAGGCAAAGGGCTCTTGGGTAAAATTGGCGATGGGAAATTCGGCGTGGGCTCCGACATGGTCTTTCTGCACTTCCCCAGCTATATTTTAAAAGCTTCTGCTTCTCAGCCAAACCCAATGGACTGCCTTCGTTGCCTTCCTTACCATCTGAAGCCACTGCGTTGCGTCCAGCCGCAGTCAACGCCGTCCACGTGTGAACTTATGCACCCCAGGGCGTCCACAGCCGCGCATTCAAAATCCACCGTGGCATGATGTAATGAGACTAGCCCGGCAGCCAGCAATGTGCTGAGACAGCACCGAGCGAAGCTGGGCACGAAAAGAAGTAAAACGAAGAGCGGGTGAGGAGGGAACGGAGGTGGGGGCAAAGAAGGGAGCGGCCAGAGCAATCATCAAAGAGTGAGTAAGACTCTTCAAAGACAGCTCCTACCGGCGGACGCTGGGAGCTCGCTGGGGTAACAGGAGCCCGCGTGGCCAGAGCGCCCGTCACATGCGCGCGTACACCTACAACCTCAAAGAGCGAGGCCTACGGCGGAGCATCGGAAGGGGTGCGAGGAGCAAGAGTAGGCGAGGCAGAGGACTGAATAGCAAGCGGAGTCAGCACAGCCTGTGCCTCTCGGGACCCCCAGGTGGACGATCCAGGATAAGCAGGAGGGGGAGAGAGGGAGGGGACCGACACCCACAACTCCAGGACGAACCCGGAGCAGGGGGGGCGAGGAGAGGGGGAAGGGAGCAGTGAGGGGACGGCGCCCGAGCGACAGCCCGAGCAACGACGCAGGGGGAGAGCAGCGAATACGACCGACGCCGACGGCGAAAGGACGGCAACGACCCCACCTGGGACCCGCGGCCAGCGTGCGCCCCCGGACCGCAGGAACAAACATTGGTACAGACAAAGTCGACTCCACGCGAACCGAGTTATACCAAAGATATACCTTGGCTCGCGACTCCACGCGAGCCAAGGTGGCTCCTAGGAGTGTTCGGGCGCCCTCCTGCTCCTGATCCGCCTGCACCGTTGGCACCGTCGTCGAGCTTTTCGTCCTCGTTGTCGTCGTCCTCCGCCCCCGCATCCAGGAAATCCTCCTTCCCGCCCTCGCCCTTCACCTTCCACTACACCTCCTCCTCCTCCTCTTTCTCCTCAATGCCCTTCTCTTGTCCTCCCGCTCCTCCTCCTCGACCTCCTCGTCCTGACCCTCCTGGGCCTCATCCCACTCCAGTCCTTCTCCTTATAACTCCTCCCTGTCGCACCCCGAGGCCAGTTTTTAGGGCGGGCTGGGCGTTTCGCCTGAGGCGCCCTCACCATTCATGACTCTGAAGCTTAAAAATTGGCAACAGGTTCACAGATGGAGGGCGGGTCGTTTTCAAAATGTGGCTCTCGCCCTGGCGCCGCGCACATTCGTTTTAAACATGTGCAGGAGCTTCACGGATAGAGGGCGGGTCGTTTTCAACATGTGGCTCTCGCCTCAGTGCCGCGCACATTTGTTTTTACAGTGGAAGAGTTTCACGGATCGAAAGCTGGTCGTTTTCAAAATGTGGCTCTCGCCTTAGCGTCGCGCACATTCTTTTCAAATAATTGCAAGAGCTTCACGGATTGAGGGCGGGTCGTTTTCAAAATGTGACTCTCGCCTTAGCGCCGCGCGCATTCGTTTTAAACAGGTGCAAGAGTTTCACGGATTGAGGGCGCATGGTTTTGAACATGTGGCTCTCACCTGAGCGTTGCGCACATCTTGTAATATTATTTTTAACTAGAAAATGAAAGAAGTTCGCGGATTGAGGGCGGGCCGTTTTCAATCTGTGGCTCTCGCCTCAGCGCCGCGCACAGTCGTTTCGAAAATGTGCCAGAGTTTCGCGGATTGAAGGCGGTTCCTTTTCAACATGTGGCGCCGCGCACATTCGTTTTTAAACATCTGCAACAGTTTCATTGATTCCCATAACCAACGTACCAGAAGTTGTATGTTGGAAATGATCAGGATTATGCGATGCGCAACAGTTATGTTGATTCGCTGTGTCGAAGTTCCAAAGATGGCGTTATTGCACAACTCCGGATCGTCAAGACGCAGCGGCCAAGGCGTTGAAATCCCGAGAACAATGTTTTGGCATGCTTCAGGATCTTCACACTGTTGTCTTCCAACGAGGCAATTTCCTCAATGGAAATGAACCGCTGTAGGGGCCTATGAAAAGGGAGGTTGGAGGGAGGGGTAATTCCAACATCGTTGATGACTTTTGGGTTTCCACTGGCCCTCCTCTTCCTCAACCTCCTCCTCCTCCTGCTGCTCCTCTTCCTCCTCTTCCTCCTCGACCTCCTCGTCCTACTCCTCGTCCTCCTCCTACTCCTCCTCCTTCGATGTCTTTTCATTTCACTCATCCTCGCCCCTCCTCATACGAAATGCCCCCCGTGCTCCTGGTGCTATTCCTCCTCGTTGTGTTATTCCTCCTCCTCCTCATCCTCATTCTCGACCTCGTCGTCGAAGTTATCATGCTGTTGTTCCTCCTGCTCCTCCTCATGCTTGCCGTGCTCCTCCTGGTATTCCTCGTACCTTTCCTCGCACTCCCTGTCCTCCTCAGCTTCGCATCGCTCCTCCTCCCCCTTCCACCTCCTCCTCCTCCTCCCTCTCTTCCTCCCCTCCTCCTCCTCCTTCTCCTCCTCGTCCTCTTCCTCCTCCTCGTCCTCCTCCTCCTGATCCTCCTCCCCTCTTCCTCTTCCCCTTCCTCCTCCCCTCCTCCTCTTCCTCCTCCTCCTCCTCCGCTTCCGCCTCCTCCACGAAGTGTTCCTCGTCTTCCTCCTCCTCCTCCTCGTCGCCTCGTCCTCGCAGTCCTCCCTCTTCCTCCTCCTTCTCCTCCTCCACCTGCTCCTCCTCGCCCTTTCCCTCCTCCTCGCTTGCTCGCTCGCTCGCCCGACGAGGGCTGTGCAAGATCAGCCCGTGCCAGGGGCGCATGTCCACCTCTCGCGCGGCAGCTCGGAGCTCCAAAATGCGAGAATGCCTCCAGCGAAACGCACCGGACGATCTTGCGCGCGGCAGTTCGGAGCTCAAAGTTGCGAAGATGTCTCAGGCGATACGGGCGGGACCACCTTTCGCGCAGCATCTCGAACTTCAGAATTGGGGGGGATGTCTCAAGCGGAACGCGCCAGACTACTTCGTGCGCGGCATCCTGGAGCTCAGCGTTGATAGGATGCCTGAAGCGAAACGCGCTGGACCACCTCGCGCGCGGCAGCTCGGGGCGCTGGAAGGGCGGGGATGTCTCAAGCGAAATGGGCCCGCGAACAGCTCTCCTGGCCATCGCTCGGACGTCCATTCCCTGTGTTTTTTTCGGTTTCGTGCGTGGTTTTTTCGCCAAATGATCAAGGAAGCTCCTCGATGGTCCTCGCTAGAGGAAGAATGCACACGTCCGAGCGATGCCAAGTCTCGCGCGGCAGCTCGGAGCGTGTCTCGGGCGAAACGCGCCGGACCACCTCGCACGCGGCGTCTCGGAGCTCGGAGTGAGGAGGTCTTACGCGAAGCGCCCCATCCCGACCAACGCAGACACTGGAGATGTGAGAATGCGCGCCGGACCATCCTGGGCGCGGCAGGTCGGAGTTCAGAGTGGCGTTGCGAGGGTGTCTCAAGCGAAGCGGGCCAGACCACCCCTCGCGTCTCGCGCAGCATCTCGAAATTTGGAATTGGGGAGATGCCTCCAGCGAAACGCGCCATACAACTGTGGGCGCGGCATCTCGAAGCTCAGAGTTGTGGAGATTTCTCGGGCGAAACGCGACGGACCACCTCGCGCGAGGCAGGACGGAGGCGCAGAGTTGTGAGGATGCCTCAAGCGAAACGCACGCAGAGTGGGAATAATGTCTCAGGCGAAACGCGCTGGACGACCTCGCGCGCGGCGTCTCGGAGCTCAGATCTGGAAGGATGCCTCAAGCGAAACGCGCCGGACCACCTTGCGCGCGACAGGTCGAAGCACAGAATTGCGAAGATGTCTCAAGCAAAACGCGCTGGACCGCCTCGCGCGCGGCGTCTCGGAGCTCACAATGGGTAGGACAGTCTCAAGCGAAACGCCCAATCCCGGCCTCAGAAACGAGAGGGGAAGAACCAAGAAATGGGAGCACGGCGCTCTCGCTTATGAACCAGTAGGTGCTCGTATCAAATCAACGTGTGCTTGCAAGAAACCTGGGGTCAGCAGTGGTCTTCTCAAGGCATCCGGGACATAACGCCTGAATCAATTCGAAGACTGCGGCAGCGTCGGGGCAACTTCGAGACACTCAAGTTCACCCCGCATGTCCTGAACTTCTTTCAAATGAGCTTTCTGTCTTCTCGCCTCCTAGGGTCAGAAATACATATGCCATGGGCGAAGCAGCAGCAACACTACACTGTCCTCCAACAAATGCTTATGCTTCGTTGGGCGTCCTCTGGAAGCCAGGAAACCAACACATATCCATACGTTCGATGCGTGATGAATCCGGACATGTCGAGGTTCAGTGTGCATGCAACGCGCTTGCGTACATGAGCACGGACAATGACCTTCGCTGAGAATTCCTGGGTGCTGAGTCGGCCACGCACGTACAGCCGCATGATATGGACGATGATAAAAGCGCAAAGCAGTCGACCACGCAGTGTCACCACATTCATGGCTGCATTCTGTATGATCAGATGGACTCAAAGAGCTTGCTGCAGGCAAAGCGATGACCACACTATTGAGCGAGAGCTGGAGTTGTTAATCCTTTCACCAAAGCAACGTCGAATGGAACTGGCAAGTTCAATGTCCTCGGCGTTTGCGTACGCACTCGATAGTAGCTGTTCCAGACGGTCACCAATTGTACCTGAAGCGTAGCTCTCGCACTCTAACCTCCGCCAACCCCGATTACTCGCATGTCTCCCGTCAACCAAAAATCACGCGAAATACCGATGCCTTGCGCACGGGTTTTTCAGCGCAGGTGCGAACACTTTAGAATATTGCGGTTTGTGCAACGTGCAAGTCACAATGACACGGCGGAACGGCTTTACATTGTCTTCACAAATGCGCGGCTGCGGCTGAAGTGAGATACAGCGTTGTGTGGGAAGCTGCTCATGCTTGTCGCGATGTCGCAACGACCCAACAACGATCCGCCTGCGGTCCATCCCGCGGTCCGGCTCGCGACCGGCTGCGCGACCCGCACGCGACCCGCACCGTGACCCGCCACGCGACACGCCCATCGACCCGGCTCGCGTTCTGCCCCGCGACCCGCGTCGCGCCCCACCCCGCGTTCCGCCTGCGACCGGCCTTCACTGCTTTGAGACTTCGGCGCCAACGGGCGGGCTGCTTCCACACGTTCTGCTGACCGACCTGTCTGGCCGCGTCTCTGCACATCGGCTGCATTGCTGGCGCCCACACCGAATGCTAGCCCCTCTAGCCCCTCCCCTTCCTTCCGTATCCCCCAAAAAACGGCTACGCCTAACCGCCCGCGCCCTTCTCGCTACCCCCCCTTCCACCGACCCGCCCCCCAAAAAGGCTCCCTCCAGGCGCGGGGCGAGTCAGACACGAGCCGTCTCGCCCATCCCGCTCACTCCGCTTCCAAGCTGGGTTTCCCGCTCTTGTCCGCTTAGTGCTGGTGGGGAAAGGGCCCCTCCGGGCAAGCCCCCCCCACGTAAGCGTCCCCAGGGTAAACCGCCTCTGGGTATGCCCCCTCCATGTGCGCCTCGTGCGGTGAAGAAGCACGGCTGCTCTTGCGCCAACCTCCACCCGCATGCCCAGATCAGTCACATTTTTTCGCAGCCAAGATGGCACGATCCTCCGCCAGCACCCCTCACTGGAAGCTCGCAGTTTGTTGGGTTCGCTCCGTGCATGACGCTCGTGCGGTGCAGGCCCCAAGCCTCCATGGCCACTGAATTTGTGGTCGGTCAAAACGTCCTCCTGCCTTGTGTCGCCCGGGGGGGATAGCAAAGGGGGGGTTTGAGAATCAGCTCACGTACCTGATTTTCCCCGCGCCTCCTGGCGCCGGAGGCGACTATGTATCGAGGAATGGGCCCCTCGATGAGGCCGAAACCAGCTGCATGCAGCAAATTTCGTAACCCTCCCTTTCCCAATCCCCCCCTTTCGTCCGGCCCGATTGTGTCGCCCGAGCGCATTCCGACAGCGGTTGCAGCCACCGCGGGCCTTCCCCGGCAGACGGGGAAAAGCGTCCAAGAATCTGTACATGTTTTGGGACTTGGCGCTGGCGACCTGGATGCTACATTGGCTGTGGTGTCGGAGCCGCCCGTCTTTGGAGGTCCTCCGCCTGCCTGCCAGCCACTCCGCGAGCCCTGCAGCCTACCGCAAGCACGACACGCAGGGTGGTCGCTGGACGCCTGCCGGGCTATGTCTTGTTCTGCTTCTCCCGCCAACCGCAGCTCCCGCTGCCACTTCTCGCAGCCTCTCGCGTGCCCTGTGGGAGAAGAGGCAAGGGCGCGTCGTGTGGCGTTGTAGCGCCGTCGTGGTGCCATGCCAGCTTGGTGTCCTGGTGCTGCGGCGCCGTAGGTCCATGGTGTCGCCGCGTCCTGAGACCTCGGCGTCGTGGCGCGGTCTTGCGACAATGCTCGCTGTTCTGAGATATTATGCCTTCGTCGGGCCGTAACGTCGCGATCCATCAGTTTGAAAGAACGGATCCCACGTCGACTGCACAGCAGAACAAAAACACCCCCACTCCCGAAACAAACCCAGCTTCCTTTCATCCAATTCCCCCTCCTCTCCAAAACTGACTCCCGTTCTTCGATTGGAGAGCCCTCCCCTCGCAACTCCCCCTTCCAAAGTGTGGGGGGGGTCAACCCCTCCCGTGCGACGACGACGACTGCGACGACGACGGGGACGACAACGACGACGACGATGACGACGACTCCGACCACGACGAAGACGACGACAACCACGACGTGCACGGCGACGAGGCATTGAACCGAAAACAAAAGCAGCATGTGCCCCGCACCGCTCGCGCAGTGCAGCGCGTGAGGCAAGAGGGGGAAGACCACGAGCGTGATGGAGAGCAAGTGAGACAGCGCAATGGAAATAACAATGACCATGATACAATCAGGGCCTTGACCTAAGGAACCCAAAATAAGGAACGAGGCCCCTTTTTTTCCATGAGTTAACAATCGATTTCCCGTCGAAAACGTAAGGAAAGCCTGAGGCAAGCTGTGAAACACTTAAGGAGCGCGGAGCCCCTCCCCAACGAAAAGGGTTCCTTCTGCAGGGCCCCGACTGTAACAATGACCATGATACATCGAGGAACTCTTGGATCCGGTCGTTCCACAGAGTTCCAGAACGCTGCGAGAGCGTTGCGGAACGCTCTGGGACGATGTGTCCTGGTCCTCGCCCAGCCCGAGCAAGAAGAAGGCGGATGAGCGGGGCCAGGGCCGCTTCGTCGCGACCTATAGGCCGACGTCCTGTGGACACATGGGCGAGTCTCAGGGAACTGCCGTTTGGCCAAAAACCTTCCTCACCGACGCAAGGACCTCGTCATCAGCATCGGCGTGATCAGCATCGGCGCCTTGCCGTTGCCATCGTCACCATCGTCACCACCATCGCTACGTTCATCATCGTGCGTACCGTTGTCGACGTCACCATGATACCACGCGAGCCCAAGTCAGCGGCTCGCACTCAAGTGCCAGCTGAGAAATGCCCAACGGTCAGCGCCACCGCGGCCGCATCGGTCGCGCCAAACTAGCTGGCCGCTGAGCGCGCGAGCATGCGCGGCCGCAAATATTCACCAGCCAACGCCAAGCACTCATCGCAATCGCCGCCGCGTGGGGTTTGCAGACCAGTTTCCGGGTGGGCGGGTGGGGTGATTGCGCGCGCAATGGAGTTGACAATTCCAAAGTGTTCAAACTTACGTGCACAACATAGATCGCACCACAAATATGCCCCATTCTTAAAATGACATAGATTATGCCCCCCTGGGGTTATATGCGCCCCATTTCGCATTGCGATGTACCTATGGTCCTGCTAAATCGCTCATCCGAAATATGAGTTCGCACCATCCTGGCCCAACCGGTATCGACACACCCAGACATCCTCTGCAAAAGAACAATGCGCGCACACTCGTTCATCGCAAACCATCAATTTCAAACATCCCTGCAAACGCGCGCGTCGTCGCGCGCATGCCGGAACCCTTCAACACTTTAGGTGTCGTAGGGTTCCCGAAATCAAGAGTCCAGATTAGCTTGGCGAAGGACCCAACCATATGCAGCTGCGCGTACCGAGCAGGATATAAAACGAAGGAGGGGGGGGGCACGCAAACTACGAGTAGCGCAATGCATGGCCCTTCTTCGCATAGGCACCGCGCCACTTCATGGACGAGGCACAAGGCAGCGCGAGCAGGAGGTGGCTGGCGGAGGAGGAAGGCTCAGTTGGGCGAGACACCACATCAACATCAACGCATCTTGAGACCCGTTACCGAACAAGCAAAGAGAGGACCACGAGGGGCCAAAATCTCCGCTGGGGCCATCGGTGGAGCTCCCTGTGGGCCAGGGGCCACACAACGTGTGAGGGGTGTGCCAAAATGGGTATGCGGGCGGCATGCGGGCGCAACCGATCGGGCCTTCGGTGGAGCTCCCTATGGGGCCGCGACCAGTGTGAAGAGTGTGCCGAAATCAGTGTGGGGGCGGCATGTGGGCGCAGCCAGTGGGGCCTTCGGTTGAGCTCCCGATGGGGCCACGAACGTGTGAGGGGTGTGCCGAAATGGGTGGTGGGGAGGCATGCGGGCGCAGCCACTGGGGCTTTCGGGGGGGGCTCCCTATGGGGCGACGGAACGCGTGAAAGGTGTGCCGACATGGGTGGTGGTGAAGCATGCGGGCGCAGCCACTGGGGCCTTCGATGGAGCTCCCCATAGGGCCACGAAACGTGTGAGGGGTGTGGGTGGTGGGGGGTCATGCGGGCGCAGCCACTGGGGCCTTCGGTTGAGCTCCGTATGGGGCCACGAAACGTGTGAGGGGTGTGCCGAAATGGGTGGTGGGGAAACATGCGGGTGCAACCACGGGGGCCTTCGGTGATGCAGGGTGTGCCAAAATCTGGTGGTGGGGGAAGCATGCGGGCGCAACCGATCGGACCTTCGGTGGAGCCCCCTATGGGGCCGCGAACCGTGTGAAGGGAGGGTGTGCCGAAATGGGTGTGGGAGCGGCATGCGGGCGCAGCCACTGGGGCCCTCGGTGGAGCTCCCGATGGGGCCACGAAGCGTGCAACGGGTGTGCCGCAACGAATGCGGGGGAGACAAGCGGGCGCAGCCACTGTTTTTTTTGGGGGGGGCTCCCTATGGGGCCACGAAACGTGTGAGGGGCGTGCCGTATCTGATGACGATGATGGTGGTGATGACGCCGATGATGGTGAACATGATGGTGATGATGACGCCGATGGCAATGATGATGTTGATGACGATGATGATGGTGACGATGTTGATGACGCCGATGATGAGGATGACGGTGACGGCAAGGATAACGATCAAAATAGTGGTGCTGGTGATGATGATGATGATGCTGACCGTGATGTCGATGATGATATGGTGGTGACGACGGCGATGAGGATGACGATGGTGGTCATTTTTGATAATGCGGATGATCATGGTGATGCTGCTGGGAGAACGGAGGCTGGGGAGATGAAGGGAGGAGAGGATCGCGCGGCGTTAAAACATAATTAAAACAACGAGGACCCAACACCACAGGATGGTTGAGGAAAGTGTAAGAAAACATGTACCTTCGTACCACGGACGTTCGGAACAAATCTTGCGCGCTTTCTTGCGATTCCTGAAGCAATCCATGGATTTCAACATTTGCATAACATTCTACCAAACGGTCTTCGCGCGTACATGTCAAACTCGTT